CTGAATACTTAGGACCATGTGATATTTCAGTTTTTCTTTTTTAATAAATCTGCAAAAATGTCAACAATTCTGTGTTTTTCTGTCAATATGGGGTGCTGTGTGTACATTAATGAGGAAAAAAATTAACTTACATGATTTTAGCAAATGGCTGCAATATAATAAAGAGTGAACAATATAAGAAACAATACCCAATAACAATAACAATACCAACCCCCGATAGTTAAAATATTTCTTATATATTGTGTATATTTAAACTATCACACTCACACGCTCGCTCGCTCGCACACACAGACACACATACACACTCACACGCACATACAGGTTTGTTTTTGTGAAAAGTGGGGACTCTCCATAGGCGTAATGGTTTTTATACTGTACAGACCGTATATTCTATTGCCCTACACCAACCCTACCCCTAAACCTACCCCTCACAGGAGACTTTCTGCTATTTCAGATTTTCAATACACTCCATTCTGTGTGATTTAGAAGCGTTTTGAAAAGTGGGGACATGGGGTAATGTCCTGAAAAGTCACCTTCTCCTTGTCATACCTGTCATACCTTTGTCATTATACACATTTATGTCCTCATTTGTCACAAAAATGCGCACACTCTCTCACACACACACACACACACTCTCTCTCTCTCACACACACACACAGACATACACGCACGCACTCACACAGACATACACACACACAACGTTTGTTCTTCTGAACAGCTTTATAAGAGGTTCCAGTTCTCTGCTCCTTCTAAATCGATGGGATGTGGGAAAAACTGGAATGTAGATCTGATTCTTAAGTTCCTGCTTGCAAACGGTGAGAGGTGTGTGTGTGTGTGTTGGTCAGTTATCTGGAGCAGCCGTGTCTGATGACCATGACCTCATGCGTGTCGCTCCGCAGGCTCAGCGCCGTCTACGGGAACAGCAACCTGCTGAACTGAAATCCTGATGGAGGACGAGCGAGTGGCGGCGGTGCGATCCGAAGGCGAGGTGAGCCCAAACACAGCTTCATCTTCACACGACCCCGATGACCATGATCTGACCGCGTTCTCGTCCCGATGAAGGTCTTCCGCTTACTCAACCACCCCATCAGCCAACTCCTGCCAGATCGTCCTCCCGCAGACGCACCTCAACAGGAAGTCAGGTGGGAAATACTCATTACATTTCTGCATGTTCTTCTTTCATCCTATGCACATTAAATATGGCATGGCAACAGAAGCTCAAATGCACGTGCAAGAACCAAAGTTTGTTTTCGTGCATCAAGCACATGCGTTCAGCTTCAGGTGTAACTTGTCTGGCTTTTGAGGGCCCTGTTCTGGTGTTTGTGTGCAGATATCTACGTGTGTTTGCTGTCCTTCGCTCATAACGTGGCAGCGGAAGGCAACTACATTGATGTGGTCAGCACGATGGTGGAAACCTGCTACCCGGAGAAGGAGGTCCAGCCCGGTCTGGAGCCCATCGTGGAGAAGTGAGCAGCAAATGTGTTGTTCATGCGTCACTCACGGTTGGTTTGTCCTGCAGGTTTGTGTCTGTCAGTAACCTGATGGTCTGGACAGACGACGGCCGCAGGAGTCCGGTAACGTGCTCTCCGCTGCTCCAATGACATCAGCACCAGCCAGAGAACGCTGACCGCTTGTGTTTCTCATCTAGATCTTCATCTCCCGCTCATACGACCACATCATGGATCTGTACCGCCGCGCCACAGGCTCCGAGTTCATCCTCAGGGACCCCAGAGAGACCGACGCTGACGACTGAACGAGCGACACCACTAACACTAATGAAGAAAGTGTTGTTTCTTCATTAGATTAGCGTTGATCATCATTTCAGTCGTGTGCAGTTTCTCCAGGTGTGGGTCAGTGGGGTCTACGGTTTCTGGTTCCTCTCCTGTGTTTTACAGAAGAGGGAGAGTCGTAGATGACGGAATGATGATTTCTGGCCTGACAATCTCTTCAAGGCTGCAGTGGATTTTCTGTGACAGACGCATAACAACACACATTCATGTCTGAGACATCACTGTAGAACCAGAGCAACAATAATCAGTCGATGTTCCTGATGTTAGTTTGTGCAGTGAATGTGGTCACCACTGATCAGCTGCTCCTCAATATAATGTAGAAACTTTACTTTTCTGTGAAGCTGCTTTGCAACGGTTTGTATCGTGAAAAGCGCTACACAAATAAACGTGAATTGGGTTGAACTGGCGTTTGACGTGTTGCAGTGTTTCCTTCATTGCATCTCTAGCAGATGTTTTTCTTCGAGTCTTACAGTAGTTAAAGCTACGTTTACACTCTCAGTCCAGATCTGATTATTTGTGTCCGACTGCGTCCCATAGCGCTCTTTGGTTTCTATGAGAAAGTGACACAGCACTCAGACCGAAACACTTTTGCACTTTATTTCGATAGTCCACTTTAGACATTCTACTAACTATAAGTTACATTGTAACTACATTCTCATTAATTTGCAACTACAGGTCTACTAACTCTCAGAGTCGACTGTTAGGTTAGGTTTAATGTTAGTAGAATAAGTTGACATATACTTGCAAAGTTTCTCGTAGTCAGTATGTTGTGGATCCATCCAAATAAAGTGTTAGAAGATATCAAGCAGACGGTCTACTAATACTCTAATGACTGCTAGTTGACATGTAGATGCAAAGTTACTTACAGTTAGTAGAATGTCTAAAGTGGACTATGGAAATAAAGTGTTACCGATTTAGTTGTTGTTGATGCTTGCTAAATATGATCGGATTCCAAAGTGCAGAAGAATGGGATTTGCACTGGCAGTCTTGTGTCATGTGATGATTGTGTGCTAGATGATAGTGCTGTGTATGTGGCGCTAATAAAGAGTGTGTGTTTGTGTCTGATCACACATGAGCACAGAGGACAGAGAGATCCAGACAGATGTGTGTTAATACCTCTAATCTGTGTTTATTCACTCTCCACTCACACACACTACAGCCAGAGATCACGTGACACACTGTACTGAGAGAACATGGCTTCCCAGAGTCCTGTTCTCTGTTATTCGGCCGCAGGAGGAGGGATCAGGCCTGCCGCGGCTAACCGTCTCTCGCTGGACAGGAAGTTGAACGTCGCACATGCGTTAGGCTGCGAGGAGAAACGTTTCACTGTTAAACTGCTGTAACGTGTGGGTTTATTCCAGACGAGCGCAGAGACGTGTTTACCGTGTCCTGAACCTCCACAGCGATGCCCTTCTTCTTCAGGAAGTCCAGCACGTTTGGATCCAGACGCTCCGTACGAGCCCCCGTCCCCAGAACCAGAATCTCTGCAAGACCACCGGCAGCCCGGGTTACTATCATAACTACAACCCCCCAAAACCATTATAATGCTGATTTTATTTCAGCTAGTTGCCAAGGCTACTTATTTTAGTTTGGAATTAAAATGAATAAAAACTGTATAGAATTTAAAAAAAAAACCAATGACAAAAAGCACAATGAAATTACTAAAATTAAATCAAATTAAAAAGAAAACAAAAATAAAAACTAATTCTGAGTATTAATAAAAATGTATACTATCTCGATACTAAAATAAAACTGCACTGCATACTGACTACTAGTTTTTACAGTAGTACGATACATTATCACATGACCTCGTTATGGTTATTAATTAATAAAGTTCAGGAATAAAGTCCTGAAGAAAATAATGACTAAGATTGCACATCTGGACAAATGCAGAAGATCTGTGTGTTTAGTGCATACTATGAACACTGCAGAAGCTGAAGTATTTAGTACTGTAGTGTTCACTGTAGTAAGTGTTTAATCACCAATGCGTGGCTCCAGAAGGTAAAACAGAGACAAACTCTCCACCGTGATGTCCGTGTGATGGCCAACCTGCAACAACACACACACACAGTGAACACACAAAGAGAGAGGGAGACACACACACACACACACACACACAGAGAGAGAGAGAGATGCTTCACTAACATCTACTGCTGCTCTGCATCACAGCATCAGAAAGCGTGCAGTGATCAGGGTTAGTGCTGCAGGTGTGCGCTCACGTTCCACTGCAGGACGGCTGGCGGCAGGACGGCGCACGGCCCCAGCACCGTGTTCCCGCTGATGCTGAAGCCCCGCGGGCTGTAGCTGTAGATGACGGCTCCTCCGGCCGCCTCCCTCTGCAGCAGCGTCACTGTGGTCCTCTGGTACAGCTCGTCGTCGGCCGGACCGAGCCTGTGGCGGCGCACCAGAGACACTCTGCAGCACAGAAGCAACAACACAGTGCTGAACACCGAATCCCACAATGCACTGCGCTCGACCTTCTAGTATTTGATTCGACTAAAAAAAAGCATTTTTACACACAACAATGATTTTATTTACAGAAATACTTGTATACGTGAGATCACTGTACTGTGTCTGAATATACACTATAGAGGACACGGCTGCGCGTTTACCGGCTCAGAGCCGGAAGAAGCCTCGCACCGAGCCGCAGTCGGTGACCGGATCCCGGTGACAGCAGCCTCGCGCAGCTGACGGCCGCCATGACGATGACGCACGGGACTCACGAGCGCGCGCAGACGGACACGCGCACCGCTGACGTCACCCTCTGCTCAAACGATCATCTTAAACACTTAACAGCTTCAAAACTGTGTATGTTATCGATTATATTCGCCATTTAGTAAATGTTTATTGATACTTGTTTTTATAGCACATGTCGATATTCAGACAGAACTCCGCAGTGATGTTTTCTTGAGCCTCCAGCATCGGTGCTCCGTGAATCCTGCAGCTCTGAGCTCGACTACTTTCCCTGGAGGCGCGTGACTGCCTGTGCGCGCGCCCGCTGTCGTGTTTACGGGGCTGCGGTTCTGCGCCTCGCGCGTTCACACGGTCTGAGCGTGTTATGATCGCTTCTTCTGCTTACACCGCTCCTCTGAGTGCGCCATTAACGCGCGCCGGACGCGTCAGCGCGGTGGAAACGGCCGGTTAACGATGTATCGCTCTCTGTTCGACTTCAGCTCGGCGGAGCGGAACGCGCTGCGCTTCCCCGCGGGAGACTCTTTCCTCGTGCTCGAGCGCAGCAGCGCGCACTGGTGGCTCGCGACGCGCTGCAGCTCCGGCGAGACCGGATACATCCCCGCCGCGTACCTCGAGAAGATACCGGTGAGACGTGTGTGTGTGTGTGTGCGTGTGCGTGTGTGTGTGCGCGTGTGCGTGTGTGCGCGTGTGCGTGTGTACTCACTGTGCGTGTGTGTGTGTGTGTGTGTGTGTGTGTG